ACAGCTGGCCGAATCCCAGGCTGCAGTAAAAGCCCTAGAGGTGAGCGTATTAAAGTAAAGAGTAATGAGAAAATAAGTTCAGAGCGGTGGCACAGTGGGTAATAAACATGCTCACGATACATGAAGAACCATTCACTCAGTGTCCCAATCCCATTTCATCGATTTCTCAAAGCTATCATAAATAAATATATATATATATATATATATATATATATATATATATACAGTATATACAGTATTGGCCAAACGTTTGGAATTAAATAATTCTTATATGCACAGATTAAAAACAGCAATATTGTGAAATAGTTTTCTATTTAAATATACTTTAAAGTATAATTTATAAAAGCTGTATTCTCAGCATCATTACTCCAGTCTTCAGTGCCACATCATTCTAACACGTCATTCTAATATGCTGATTTTATACTTAGTTATTATCGATGTTGGAAAGAGTTGTGCTGTTTAATATTTTTTAATAACCTTTGCCACATTTTCATAAATTTAAAACATCCTTCCTGAATGAAAGTAATTAATTTCTTTAAAAAAAAAAAAAAGATACTGACCCCAAACTTTTAAACGCTAGATTGTTAACTTTTTATTTATCAAAGAACCCTATAAAACAAGATGTTTTCCCACATAACTGTTCCCAACATTGATAATAATAAGCGTATTATAATGATTTCTGAAGGATCATGTGACACTGAAAACTGGAGTAATGATGCTTAATATTCATAAATATTAAGTATAAAATAATTTATGTAGGCCTACTGTGAAGTCAAAAAGTCTGAGCTCACATAAAACATCATCAATTCATTGAATGTTTTATTTTTAAATATATTATGTTCTGCATTTCAGCATGTTTTTATTCAAATGCGACACAACATAAATTAAAACAATTAGGATATCTTATCAAGATCCATCTGTTATTGTGCAGGCGGAGAAGCAGTCTGTTCGTATGCAGTTGGACCGGACAGAAAGTGAACTTCGTCTATCTCAGGAACAAAACACACTCCTCACAGGCAAACTGCACAAAGCCGAGCGGGAGATCAACTCGCTCAGCAGTCAGGTACACGAACACAGCCTGGGTGACTTGACCAGTCAGATTCTATGATCTCATCATGTCCCCATGCTTGATATCTGTAGCAATATATCCTGGCAATTGTGTATGTTTTACTGTCCAGGTTGAAGAAATGAAGCACACGCACAAGCTTGAGTTGAGTAACGTAAAACTAGAGTGTGTCAAAGCCAAAGGAGAAATAGAAAGAGACCGAGACACACTGCAGTGCCAAGTAGAGGGTAAACATGCTTCCTTCTCTTTTACTTTCTTTTAAGCTGTTTTACATTAGTAACAGTGTCTTTCTCTCTCAGGTCTGCAGTCAGATATAGAGGTCATGAAGGCAGCGTTGGAGAGAAATAAAGACTTGATATCTGAAAAAGAGCGAGAGATGGTGCGCAGGGTTCAGGCAGCGAGAGAGGAGGAGATACACAAGATGGCCACCCTTCAGGAAGAGAAGTAAGCACTAATATTATCAGACAAGGTTCTAAGTTTAAAGCCTCATGGGATTTTCTACATCTTAATGCATTTATTTCATTATCACCAGGCTGGAGCTGGAGAATCGTTTATCTGAGCTCGAACAGCAGAGAGCTCTTCAGGAGGCAACAGGAAACTCCCAGAAAGAGGAGTGGGAGGAGCGTCTCCGTGCCGCCCAGCTGGGGGAGGAGTCTGTTCGTAAGGAGCTGCAAAACCTGAGGTAAGTTTCTTGAGGGTCATTTATTTTTTATTTAAGTCCACATTAAATCAGAATGAACCCTATTTACTTCCTGGTCTTATTGGGAAAATTAGGTCCCGCTTTTGTTGTTAAAGTCACAATGAAACGGAAGCAGCAACAGATCTTTTTTTACATATTGTGATGTATAAAATCATACAGATTATCATAAAAGAAAAATGTAGGCCAGGGACTTGGTTCTGTAAATCGGTTGTTGTGGGATTTTAAGTTTTGTGACTCAAAAATGGAAGCAGATGAACATGAGGTTGCGGGGGCGGGGTTTAAGCCGACAAAATGAAGAGTCCTGGAGAAGTCCTGCATAGGTCACTAGAGAGAAGTCTGCCAGTTGTGACATTTTGATCAAAATATATATTTTTTAAATGGTACCCATACATGTATGAATCATTCACAATAAGATCTATTTAGTGGTGTTACTTTAAATATCCTGTTTCTCTCTGGAATATCTCAAAAATGGGTTGCAAATGCCATTAATGTTGACTTTGAGATACTTAAAGAAATTACTTAAATGTTCAGTAACTGTAAATGGCAAAATTATATGATTTTCAACCCCTGTTTGATTTCCTATCCGATTACATGTGATACAGAGGCAAAATTCAGCAGCAGGGTCAACAGCTGGAAGAGCTGGAGACCTCAAGAGCAGAAAATGCAGACCTGAGACGGGTAAGTGCTGTAAAATTAGTGAAATTACTGTGAATGCACATGATATTGGGGTGGAAGTCGTGACGTTTCACATAACTCAAAAATAAATTTAGTGAATTGTGTTTATCAGCAAAACGCTGAGCTGAACCTGCAGATAGGAACTCTTTCTCACTCGGAGAGTGAGCTGCTAGACACCAACAGCAGAATGAGAGAAAGTCTGGAGCGAGTGAGAGAGGACTTACGGAGCGCTCGCACACAAATGGAACGGACCCAACAGGAAGCCGAGAGGTACGCCTTACGGTAACCTGGATACTAGCAACGCTGTAAAAGAGGAAACAGAAATATTTTAGAGAATGCTGACAGCTTGCTGAGCGAGCATCAAAATGTTTTGTTTAGCATTTTTTTCAGATTAGAGGCTTAAAATAGAGTTGATTGCTAAGATGAAATGTTGGTTCCAAAGCAAGATTTAGCTTGAATAAAAGTGCGTGATATGGATGATTTGGTGATAATGGTGCATTAGATCTTTTTTTGTCCTGAAATCATTTAAAAAAAAATGAATCAGCAAATGTGAATATATCAGAGCCATGTCCCTAAAATTATATAGATTTAATCTTTCTGTATGTAAACTGTATTTTTTATCCTGTTTGTCTTATTTGTCTATTTTCTAATACGATTTAGTTTTTTAGATGCTGACATGGTTTTTTTTTAACAATGTAGTGGACAGTGAGATAAATGAATTGTCAACGTTTTACTGTCACAGGTTGGTGGAGGAGAGAAGGGTGGAATGGTTAGAGGAGAAACACAAACTACAGGACAGAGAAGCGGAACTACGGGAGAAATACAGTCAGGCGAAAGAGCGCCTTCAGAGGGCAGCATTTGCTCAGAAGAAGGTAGTGCATAAAGCCTTCAAACTACATTTTGGGTTTAGGTTTTTATGTCATAATGATTACTATTAAAGGTGTGTTATTGGTCTGTTTTCTTATCCAGAGGAAAACCATGACTGAGGTAAAAGAAAACAAACTCCAAGACAAGATTCAGCTCCTAGAAGCCAAGATAGAAGAGCTTGAAATTGAAGCAAGCACTGCGAAAAAGTACTTTCTTGTTCTGTTTATAACACTACTTTTGCTATAAAGAACAATCTAGAGATATTTTAGTTGTTTTTAAGTCAACGTGACATCAATATTATATATATATATGATCATGTAAATTAAATATAAGAAATTAAATGTGCAATATTTTATGTTGTGTGTATGGTTTTCATTGTTCTTCAACGCAGCGTCTTGCACATGATATGGCATTAGAAGTTTCTGTTCTAAAGTTAAGACGTCTCGACCATAGAACTTTATTTCATTTCACTGACCTGCGTCTTGTGTTTTTAACACTTTGGGTATTTGTTGTTATTTATGTGCGTGTGTCTTTTTGTATAATATTTCTCATTTATTTATGCGTTTGTGCGCTCAGGAAATCCTCATACTCTGAAGAACACGCTCAGCTCAGCAAGCGTCTCAAAGAGCTGCAGAGGAGACACAACGAGTTTCGCCGTCTGTTGCTGGGCAACCAGATGACCTCCTCCACCCCTTTGGCCCAATCCTTCCTCATCCCAGCAGAGTCCATCTTCTCAAACATCCAGGTGTCTGCAAACATCCCATCCACATAGAATATTCTCTTGTCAGCCATAACAAAACCCAGGATATAAATCTACCGCTTTCTCATCTTGCTCTTCTCTCTTGCTCTGTCTCAGGAGGACCAGCACCAGAGGGAGTTGTGTGTGCTGCGGAGACGCTTGGAAGAGTTGGAAAACAGTCAGCAACAGCAGCTGGAAGAGCTGGCTGCTCCTCTAGACAGAGACAGAGAGAGACTCTCAAGCCCACGGGATGTCCTTCCAGACCTTTCTTAACCACTACTACCTGTGTTTTCATTCATCCTGTGCCAAAAACCAGACATACTGTGACATTTGTGAGACGTTGTCTTTTAAACGTTTCTTATTTTGCAACAGAAAGGTCAGAGATGAAATAATAAAAACTTGTTGCACTATTTTGTAATTATTTGTCTGGTGATTTTTTTTGTTTGTTTTTGTTGTACATCGTGTCTTTTTTTAATTGTTGATTACCTGCTTTGATTTGAATAGAAGAAAATTTAATTTTTAAAGTTTAAATCTGCTTTAAGTCAAGTCTATGTCTGTGTCTCAAAACCTATTGAGCTTCCTACCTAGACAGCACATGCCCAAAACGCAGCGCGCAAAACCCGATTTCATGAGAAAAACAGTTTCACGTTTTTGTGAATTCATATAAACTTACACTAGTTTAATTAAGCATCAATATCCTCATTGTGGCGTAAGCTGATCATTCGAAAAGGTACGAATGATTGAATTCACCGCCAAAACATTAAATAGTTACGAATTACAATGAGCCTATGATGTTTTGCGCACACTATGTTGTCTTTAAATAATGCTCAAAAATCCTGCAGTTGATGCCCAAAAGTGCTGTATACCATGAATGAATGATTTCTTGCTGACTCGGACTGATATGCTGTTGAGGTAGGCAGCTCTTGCCTCTGCGGTGAGTTGATACCCGGACAGTGGCGCACACTCCTACTCCAGCGCGCATCTTCTGAGGTACCAGGAAACTTGCCTCTTTCAAATCGGTCATACAGTCATGAACTGGACTCTGCTCGTGTTCGGTAGTGTGTGCTTACTGGTCCTGGGTGAGGACGCGTTCGTACAAGGGAAGCGCGACGGGCGAACAGTAACTTTCTCTCGGACTGCACGCGGACACTCGAGATACAGACGGGACACCTGGACTGGACAAACGCGTTTCACAGCATGCAAGACTCCACTGTCTCCCAAAGACCAAGATATTCTGCTCAGCCACACACACGAGGTGAGAACGAAACACTTAAGTTCACACAATGCATTATGTGTTTTATGCTGTTTTTATTTTATTTTTGACATTGAGTTGAATGTCAAAAAGTTGAGTTCATACTACATTTAGGCTATGGCGACAAAGTTTATAGTCGTGTTAAAAGACTGTACATATGTACATATTTACTAACAGTTATATATTAGATATTTTAATAATATTTCAGTCATTTTAAAATTATATATATATATATTATTTCATAAGATTTTTTTCACTTTGAAATCAGTACGATTAACTTAATGCCTTTTACAGAGAAAGATTGGGTTCCAAATACAACAAAGTTTATAAATTACACTTGAAATATTGTTAAAAATTTGAATTGTTAATGATTTACCTGTGAAAACAGGTGTGTTTCGGTAGTGACAAATTTGGGGAGAGGAAAAATATTCAAAAACTTTATGAAAATACAATATATGTTAATTAACAGTACATGTGGATTTTATACAATTTGCATACAAAATTTGTGGAAAAAGACGAACTGTTTCCAACTTTGAACCAATTCTGTTAGTTTGGAACAACACAAGGGAGAGTAAATTATAGGAATTTAAATTTTATGTAAACAATTCCTTTAAATGACAGACTGAACAGGACAGTCCACTTCCATCAGTATATGTGCAAGTCTGTCCTCTGGTCTTTTTTTTTTCTAGACGGGGTTTCATGGTGATGACGGATCCAGTTTTACCCTCACATGGGTTGGAGATGGAACTGGGGTTAGTCATTTTTGCCAGATGATAACAGTAACTAATAGATATCTCATCATTCTCTATTTTAAGGTTAATATATTGATAATATGGATGAACATTGCATATGGATATGGATGAAATGCATTATGAAATCATGCAGAAGTAGTGTGAACCCTTTACTGTCCTTATCTCAGGTAATCCTGGTCCTTTCCACACTCAGCGCTCCCTCAGATTCATTTTATGAAGGCGGTTCGACGCGCCTTTACAGGAGGTGAGTGGTGCAGTTTTTACCTGTTCTCGAATAACATGGAGCTTTTACTGGTGCTTCTGTTAATCAGCTATGCAACCATGATAATAGGCTGATGCCAATTTCAAAAGAGCCAAATGTCGCTTGCTTATTGGCCTAGCCAGCTGTTTATTCATCTAGATCCAACCAACTTCCTTAGTTGGACTTCCTTACTGATAAGTTAAATCTTTTACAGTGATGACTATGGAAAGTCTTTTCATGATATCTCCCATGCCATCAACAACACATTTATAAAGAAAGACTTTGGGATAAGTGCTGGACCTGGGAACCCTCAACAGGTAAATAAATGTGCTAACATTAATCTGTAGCCATGGCCAAAGTCCCTTGACAAACCTGTCTCAACTAATTCTAATTATTAGCTAATATCTAATAGTAATAGATATAGCAGATTAGTAACATCATGTTGTCAATTCGTGAGAAATGAACACCAGAGAGATTCTGTCCAATCAGAAAAGGCCATGACGACTTTCTCAAGACAGCTCATGGTTTTAACAGACATTGCTATTGACAGCAAACACGTAGTGTCAAAACCCACCACAAACGACACCTTTTTAACTTCCTATGAAGTGGGTTTGGTGTGAAGCTAGTTTCCTGCTGTTGTTCCATTATTCTTTGAGACCATATATATATCATAGGGTTGTAATTCTTTTCACCAGAATTATACACTTTTTATTGCCATTACAGGTGATTCTAACAGCCAACCTGCCTTTCACCGAGACGCTAGGAGGAGTTATTCTTACGTCTATGGATGCTGGTGTGACGTTCAGATCAGTGCAACTTCCATTCCACCCAGCACAGGCTATTCAGTTCCACTACCAGGACCCAAAATATCTTGTGGTTATCAGCATTGATGTGAGTAAGGTTTCCCCTCCTGTGTCATTAAGCCCCCATAACAGTTTTTGAGTTGACTCAGGTCTTTACAACCCCCCTATTGTATTTGTACTTGTCTTTTTTATCTCTCTCTTTAGGATGGGCTATGGTTCTCACAAGACTTTGGTAACAGTTGGTCTGAAGTTCATGAAGGAGTTCAAACATTCACATGGTGAGAACAATAACAGGGATCTGAACGAGTTTTAAGAACACACAAAACATATGAGAATGTCTGTTTACACACGTGTTAAACAATATAACTTATGCTAGATGCTATTAATCACGATTAATCGATTTGACAGCACTTAGAGTACATATATATTATTTCTGTCAAATCGAATCGTGATTAATTGCATGTGACAGAAGGTTTTGTTTAATGTGTGTGTTTATATATTATTATATGTATATGTATTGTATATACTGTATGTGTCTGTACTGTATAACACATATATTTATACATATATATATATATATATATATGTGTGTGTGTATTTATTTATATATGTATATATAGATACTCACACACACACATATATAATATTTATATAAATAAAATAATATATACAGTATATATACACACATTATGTAAACAATGTAGATGTGATTCATTTTTGATTAATCGATTTGACAGCACTTATAAATTATAAATATATATAGAAATACTGTGTGTGTGAATGAATCATTTTCATTTCCATAAATATGATTTTTTAATTATTATTATTATTATTATTATTCAAGGGGATCTGGAATTACTCTCTTCTTCAGTTCCAGCCCAAAAGGAACAGGTGCCTCTAGTCTAATCATCATTAGACAAAAATAATCAGAGTTACATTTTTTGCATAGCTGAAAGAAATTGCTAATTTATTGCTAATTTATTGACTTTACACATTCATTTACTCTATCCCTTGTGTTTGAACCAGTGGAGGCCGCAAGACGAGGCGAGCTTATTCTGAGACGGACGCAGGATTTTGGCCAAACCTTTGCCACCATCGCCAAGAACATCTTTTCTTTCGGATACATTGGTGGCTTCCTGTTTACCTCAGTCATGGAAAAACTGGTGTGGATCATTACAGACAACATGCGCACTCAAGCCTTTTTCTCTTTCCTTTCTGTAAGAATCATCATGGCGTGTTTGATTTATGAGATTGAGTTGTGTTTACAGGGCTCTCCCCGTGTCATCTATGTGTCTTCAGACCAGGGTGACCATTTCAAAAAAGCTCAGCTACCATCAGCCACTACAGAGCAGGTGTGAAGGACACACAAGCTTGAACACACTTTTGACACATATTTTAAATTACTGTATTTATAATAAATTAATGAAACATAAATAATGGATTATTATTATAGCTAAATGTATTTATAATTATTTGTTATAAATAATATATGACTGATATTGTTTTATAATTATGAGAATATATGTATTTTCCATAAATACTTGTTGGTCCTGCTTATTTGGCAGAAAAAAAAACCCAAAGATGATCCAAGAGCTACACACACTCATAACACTGTGCACAACTCTTTAACTCACTATTGATGTCTGTTTGCAGTTCTACTCCGTTCTGGATGGCGACGAGGACATGATCTTCATGCATGTGGACAACCCTGGAGGTGCTGTTTCACGCTTTTTAACTTCATCCATTCCTCTTTCTCCATATTATCAAAGCTGTAAAAGAGAAGTATACTTATTATTTAACAGCTCAACCACTGCTGCTGTCAGTTTAACAGTGTGGAGGTAGGACTTGTCAAGCGAGTTCCACTTTGTGCTGACATATCATCGAATGTCTCAGCACAAGTTGCTAGACTCTTTTGGGTCAGTGTGTACGCTATTCATCTTTGAGTCTGGAGGTCTTTGTGAAGCGACGATCACTGGAAACAGATAAGAGTGAGGATGGTGTAGTCTTTCAGTCAGGCCTTTACTGTCACACTAGAGGAAATTGCACACAAATACACCCCTCATTGTATTTACACATATGTATGACGTACATTACATGGTTCAACTTCAAGTGAAGAGTTCTCTTATTTCCCAGCATGCTTTTTACATGTCGATCTGTTTCTCACTGGTCGTTCGATTCACATTTTGCCACATGAAGCCGGTTAGATGGGTTTGCGGTGTTTGAATAATAATGCTTATGGCTGATCTCTTATCTCGTCTGAGAGAAAGCTGTGTCAGCGGAGTGTTTGTGTGTGATCTGATCTCGCATGCTTACAGCAGACACTTATTTTGGGACAATCTACACCTCTGATGACCGAGGAATCCTGTATTCTAAGTCTCTGGAGCGCCACCTGTTTGGCGGGGAGGGGAAGAGCGATTTCACTAACGTCACATCTTTGAGAGGGGTCTATCTCACCAACAAATTGGAGGAGGGTATGAACATATGATTTCAATTGTCCTTAAAGGGTTAGTTCACCCAAAAATGAAAGTTCTGCATCAAGGATGTACATCTGAGCTTCCGTTTATCATATTTGTTGAGAAATCGCTCAAGTTTAAGAATATCTTCACTTGTGAATGAAAGGCTAATAACTTTGGAATAATATGAGGGTGATGACTGAATTTTTATTTTGGGTGAATTAACTCTCTAAGTACCAAATCACAAATGTAATAGCGCTGAATCATCACCTCTTGGCCTGCAGATGGACGCATTCGTTCAGTAATTTCGTTCGACAGAGGTGGCCGATGGAGATTTCTGAATAAACCAGAAAATGTGGATTGTCCTGAAAACTCTAAAAAGGTAACAGCTGAGGACTGAGTGAAGAGAAATTTTATCTGTTGAAGTTTTGATGTTTTTATTGCTCAAACAGGAAGTTGAGGAAGAACATATTGAACATATTTTTAAAATGAGCCAATATTGGACGAACATTTTACAAAAGAAAAAGCCTATTTTAAAAATGTTTATGTAAGCTTTTGATGAATGAGATGTAATAGAAGTAGTCATAGATGTTTTCTTCAGTATTGTGGTATAAATCCTAGTAAAACGGATTATCAAAAAAGAAAAAATCTTGGGGAGGGACTTCCAGAGTGAATTTTCATTTCATGCAGACGAGTGGTTCACTTTAAAAAAAAAAAAACTTTTGCTGATAATTTACTCACCCCCATGTCATCCAAGATGTCCATGTCTTTCTTTCTTCAGTCGAAAAGAAATTAAGGTTTTTGATGAAAACATTCCAGGATTTTTCTCCATATAATGGACTTCAATGGGAACCAAACGGTTCAAGGTCCAAAAGACAGTTTCAGTGCAAAGGGCTTTTAAAACACACCAGACGATGAATAAGGGTCTTTATCTAGCGAAACGTTCGGTCATTTTAAAAACAAATAAAAAAGTTTATGTTTTATAAGCTCAAATTCTGTGATGAGCGTTCATGACTCTCCTGTTCAAACTCGTTCATCAAAATGAACAAATCTTTTTTTGAGTCATGACTCGAAGGGTCCTAGATAAGACCCTTATTCATCGTCTGGTGTCGTTTAAAGCCCTTTGAAGCTGCACTGAAACTCTCATTTGGACCTTGAACCGTTTGTTTCCCAATGAAGTCCATTAAATGGAGAAAATCCTGGAATGTTTTCATCAAAAACCTTAATTTCTTTTCGACTGAAGAAAGAAAGACGTGGACATCTTGGATGGGGGGTGAGTAAATTATCAGCAAAAGTTTTTTTTTAAAAGTGAACCACTCCTTTAAAAGGTTTCTGTAAATGTGTGTTCCAGTGTAACCTGCACATCCACGGAGAGCACAGTCATTTCAGCGGAATCACTCCCATGCTGCCTCTCTCTGAACCCACCGCCACTGGTCTAGTCATCGCGCATGGTACTACTCCCTCCCCTCTATCCCCACAGCTTCCACCTTGCCCGACAAACTGGTCTAAATGTTAAATGTCACTGCAGGCAGTGTCGGAGACTCCATTTCTGCTGCCCGGCCAGATGTGTACGTGTCTGCGGACGGAGGTTACACCTGGAGGGCGACTCTGAGAGGACCTCACCACTACAGTATCCTGGACTCCGGAGGCCTGTTAGTGGCTGTGGAGGCGCATAGAGACAGACAGATCAGCTCCATAAAGTAACACTATCACTTGCCCTGTTGAAAACATCTCTTTTATGATAAATGAAGTCATATTTCGAAATGGAATTTGTGTTTGCTGTCGAATATGACTATGGATGTGGATGTTTTCAGGTTTTCCACAGATGAAGGACAATGCTGGAAGACATATAATTTTACAGGCCACCCGATCTTCTTGGCAGGACTGGCATCAGAGCCAGGCACTAAGACAATGAATATCAGCATTTTCGGCTACCGCCCAGAGGATGATGATCAGCCCATGTGGGTGGCTGTCACCATAAACTTTGAACACCTGCTCACCAGAGAATGTAAGAAACTTTTCAAGAATTTTGGGCAGATTTGATCTCAAATACTGTAATAAGTGTCATATGAATATCATTAAGGCTCAGTCCAGCATTGGGGAAAGTTCATTTAAAAGTAATGCATTATAATATTGTGTTACTCTGCGGAACATAATTGCGCTATTTTGCAAGGGAAGACAAGAAACTTTGAAATTACTAGTTAACTTGGCTTTGTGCTCATGATGTGATTTTTGATTATTAGATTATGTAGTTGTTTGTTTTTAGTAGTTTATTACTTTGAACAAAATATAAAAAAGGTCCACACTTTTCTTAAAGGTGCCATCTGTCAAAAAAAAAAAAATCAAATCATACTCCATATTCCATACCAGATGGGGGCAGTGTACCTCCAGAAAGTGACACAAACGAGCACTGTTTTGCTCTCTCTCTCCCTCGGGCATATTAATCAAATCATTTGACACGATAGTTAAAGTTTGGAAGACCGCAGTTTCACGTGGAGCATTTGGAGATTTTTAGAGATTAGAGACTCATTGAACAACATCTTAACACTAAATTATAAAGGCTGCCTCATAGACTACTGTCTCAAATACAAATAAAAGCACAGGCTATTATTTGAAGTTTTACGGTATTCGTTTTGTTCATATTACATTTTTTTTGTTAGTTTGAATTAATTTGACAGACAGCATTCACTGATCTTGACCAAGCTAGCGCAATTTAGAGCTGCCAACTCTCACGAATTCACCATGAGACATGCAATTAACGCTTTTCATACACTCTCATGCCACACATCAATTTTGTCATGCACAGAAAAGGACACGGAGACCAATCCTGTTCCTGGCGCCACACCAACAGTGCGCGTATTCCAGAGAATGTCTAATTGAAAGGCTCTGGCGTATTCTTTGTCTCCCGTATCAAACACACCTGATTCACCTGATAATCACAGCTTTCAGATTCTGTCAATTTTATTACGCAATTCAAACAATAAATACCGTTTTGGCGCTTGTAAATGTTACACCACAGATCCCTAGCGCACGTAAACCGATCATCTCCACTAGCTAATGGTAAAAGAACACGAACACTGTTAAGATACAAAGATACAGTATGCTACACCTTACCAAAATGCATTCCTCATGCATAATATCGACCAATGATTTTTTGAACTCTTCCCTGAACTGAAATGTAGTATCGGGCTGTACTTCATCAGGTTCAAGTACACCCACAAGCCGTACGAGTTATTCGTGTACTGCAGTTTGGCTGGTGGTTATGTTGCCCGCCCGCATACCGCCTCCCTTTGCCGAAACTGGTATTACAACACCTGCCGGTCCGGGGCTAGTCATTTAGCATGCTAATTCAGGTTAATATCTTGGCAGCACTATAACTTGTCATTTTTAAATGACATCATCAACCTTATTTCTTGATGCATGTAGTTCATTTTTTGGATAGTTTAACCTCAATTTTTACAGATGGCACCTTTAAGAGATAAACCCTGCACCCCCTGTATGTTTTCACAATCACAAGGTCTTCTATGTGCCATACACATAGGTGTCTAAATGTAAAAAAAAATTATAATAGGCTAATAAAACATCTGATCTTACAAGATATGCTGGTTTGTTAAGCTGAATAGCCAATCAGAGTGATCTCTCTCACCGGTGTGCTGTGGCGCAGTTTCAATATGCTAAAGGCCAACAGACACTCGGTGACAGGCCAACATTCTCCAACTATCAACTTGCAGTTACTACATTAAAAATGAAAAAATTACAGTTCTACATTTTTACAATCTCTTTGAGTTCTGGGTTGTTGCTGGCTCAAGTCTCTATGATATTCTAGTCCCTTAATATATATATTTTCACCAGTTTTATCATCTACTGGGTGAAATCATTGCTTGGAAAATGAACACCATTGCTCACACTACTCAATATCATTCATATCTTTGCCACAAATGTGTCAATTTAAAGGGGTTTGTTTAAATCGTCATATTTCCTAGGTGGTGAACAGGACTATGTGACGTGGTTGGCGCACTCCGACTATGACTCTGACCCAGAAACAGACGGCTGTCTCTTGGGCTACAAGGAGACATTTAGAAGACTGAAAAAACTTTCAGCATGTAGGAACGGGAGAGGATATGTGGTCAGCAAGCAGCAGCGCCCGTGTCTTTGCACTAGAGAAGACTTCATGTGGTAGGAAACATTTGTAGGTTTGGACTTCTGCTTGCACCCAAAGGGTTTTCTGAACATCTATCCTGTCAACAGTGACTATGGCTTCTATCGACATGAAAACAGCTCGGAGTGTCTCCCACAGCCTGACTTCCTGAATAAAACTCAGGATATTTGCTCAGATGGGGAGCTAGAGGACCTTCAGACTTCAGGGTGATTAAATACATCTTGTTTTCTGTTTGGACAATTCATACTCACACTTCACTGTTATAATTATACCACTGTGTCAAGCAGGTATCGCAAGATTCCTGGCGATAAATGTGAGGGCGGTTACAGCCCTACAAGAAGAAACAATGCTTTCAAAAATAATTGTGGGAAAAAAAGTTCACCTGCTTCCTCAAATTTGCATATTGAGAATTCAGTAAGTAGTCCATTTCTGAGAATTATTCATTAATTTGAGGGTTACCAAAAACATTCAGTAAAAATTATTTTAAAGACATTTTGGGCCATTCTTTGAGGATGGATGTTACATACAATATGAAGAGCATAAATACTTTTAAGAAGTAAAATTTGCTTACGCATTATAAACAAGACTGCTCTATTTTGGAATTAACATGGCTGTCGTTCAGCTGCATATGTTATTTTTTTCAACAGTTCAATAAATAAAATTGTGGTGACAATCAGTTACTTTTGGTCTGTTTTTCTTTGTCTGTTATTTATAAAGACTTATTTGCTGCAAACTACTGTTTTAACAATATAACAGATCGAGTCAGATAAAATTCCCTCCTTCCAAAATTCACAGACTATTGCATTATTATATATAAATATAATAATTGTTGCTAAATGTATTTACTGTCTTTTTATTTGCAGCCAGGCATGCTGATTCTCATTGTGGTATGTTCTTGTGTGGGGGTCATTGGTTTGGTAATTGCTGCCGCTTTAATAATCACTTCAAGGAGAGTAAACTGTAGGCAAAGGTAAGGAAACATGATAAAAATCGTAATTTTCCTGCGTTCGATATTACATCCATTTAAAGCCATGTTTAGTATCTGACATTCGAATTGCCTTGCAGAAGTCACAGTCTCTTCTGGTCAAATTTTGTCCCCTGCAGGTCACCTGCGTATCGCTTTTCTGTTCTGCAACTCCAAGAAGATGATCTGCATGTTAACTATGAGAGCAGCTCCAATGGCAAACTAAATGGTTTCCAGGACCAGGAGGATTCAGATGATGTGAGCTTGATTAAGCAAACAATATTATCCTCTCTTCATCCATTCAGTTTATATTGATTTAAATTTTTAAGTATATATAAAACCCCCTTATTAATAATAATATTGTTATTATTATTTTGCATTCACTTGCTGAACTTTTTACCTTTTCTTTAGGATCTCATCGAATGAACAATATAAGTTGGAACAACTCAAGATTGGCAGACAGAAGTGAATTGTTTCAAATGAATCTCTTCTCAACCCCAGGCACCATAACTGGACAGTAAATGGCTAGAAATAATGTTGAACTGAAAATTTATCTTGCTGCGGTCAGGTTCTTGTTTTGTTTTATGAAGTGTCTTATGTAGGCACCAGAGGATAATGTATAATTGCGAGTGAATTTACCTTCACACCCTGTCTTTTGCACTGGAATCATTCATATTCCCTCAAGCTGCTGCTGGCAATCCTCCTTGAGTTTTGGGACTATGTATTTTCAAATAGACCAATCTACTGTTTTTAATTTGTAAATAAATGAAAATGCATTTAAACAGCCTGCATTATTTATGGTCTTCTAATCATAATTGTTTTATAACACAATATTAAGTATATTTATATCTTAGAGCATAAAATAATTTGAAGATTTTTTAAATAGCTTCATATAGAATAAAGTATTTTACATTGCACAGTGCAAATTGCTCTACCACTAATAAAAATATAGAAGAAAAAAAATCAAATGAGAAAGAGAAAGAGGCCAAAGAGTTGTCTGTCTTTAAAAAAACAAATAAACCACACATCTCACATGAACATATATTCACCTCACACCTCCTCAGTAACACATTCTCTCAAGCATACACTACATTCTACACAACAACATGCACCAGACACAGATACACTTTATTTTAAGGTGTCCTTTTTAAAGTGTAGCCTATTTATTAATTTAAATACTCACTAATAGTAAATGTACTTACTTTTAGTGTTAGGGTTAAGGTTTGGCTCAGGATTAGTTGCATGTAACTTTGCATAATTTAATGTTATTACTAGTATGTAATGTGTAACAGGGACACTAAACCAGACTCATGATTCAAGAATATTATAACAACACAGGGTATACGACAAAATAAATAAAATAATAAAAAATGTATGAATTACACCATAGGCTTAACGTTATTGTGTTTGAATCATGTTGTCTAATTATATTGAGTGTTTTTCAGTCCATTGTCTGTGTATTATTAAACATATTCACATACTGGTATGCTATCTACACTAAACATTAATATAATATTTTATTTAGGTACTAAGTAGGCAACCTCGGCTAAACTGATTAACGTTACTAATGTACTGTCTACACAGGTGGGCGGGACTATTGTAGGACACGCCCCCGCCGTGACGTTTGGCTCTCAAACACACGTACACACGCGAACGCTCCTCCTCGCATATGAACCCGGATGCGTCGGGATATTCAGCAACATTGTGTCGCCGTGGCACCCAGGTAGGCTACTCCTTCCTATTCTCCTCTTATTTATTCAATATCTTTTTAACAGTAGGTCAGCTGGGTTGCATGGTGTTCTTGAATTCATACTCAATTTTGTCTGCTTGTTGGTTTATTATTGTGTTTTGTTTATATATTCGTCCCATGCTAACGGCTACTCTGTCACTTTACAAATGTCAACTACTAACAACACATAACTTGCACCGTTTTCGCTTCTGCCGTCATTGTCAGCCATAATAAGAGGTTTTCTAGTTGTATGTGTTTGTTTTACAACATAAGTCATGAGTTGAAGTTAAAGCTAACATTCAATAACATTGTTTTTTGTTGTTTTATATATATATATATATATATATATATATATATATATAAATGGCCAATGCTGATATCTTAATAATTGTAATGCTAAATACTGGTTTTTACACATTATTTACTTTGTGCCTGGTTGTTGGGTTGGTTTTTTGGTGGATTCCACCTACCCCCATTGTTATAATAACACTGGGGGTGTTATTAATATTAAATGTTTAGGAATTAAGGCTTTTGTTATATGATGATATTTGATCTCATGTCAGTTGTCCGGATCTTAATGTGGTTACAGGTGCTTGCTGAGCCATCAGGATGATGCGAGCCGGAGGTTTGTTCCGAGTCTTTCAAACTTTGCAAGTATATAATTACATGTAACCAAAGGCAAATATTTGCTCAGTTGCCATTAACAATATGTTTTGGAAATGTGTGTGAAGAAAATTGGACTAATCCTACTAGTCCAGTAATTGTTTACCTTACAAAAGTATACAAAAATGAAGTATAATATAATCATATTATATTCTAAATTATAATTTAATATAACTATGGTCAGTTAAATTGAAGTGACGCCCTAGTGATGCCCATGACTATGGACTTCAAATGTTTAAAGGGATAGTTCAGCCAGATAGTTCAAGTTTTGTTCTGATAGGTTACTACATATTTTTGTTATTCTCAATGTACAATATGCATGAAACATTGTTTTTCCCCTTTTTACAGGAGTTTTGAAACTCGGTGTGCTAGTTTCTATTTTTTTTCTGGCTGTGTTCCTGGCCTTTGAGCTATTAGAGAATCATACGAATCTTAATATTGGGAAAGTCTTAGGTGAGTTAATCTTCTGCAGCATCATTCACACACACAGTTTCCTGTTAGCAAAATAAAATCATTTTTGTTTAATTATTAAAGAATAGCTTAGATCTTATCTTTTAAGTGTTTGACATGGCACGTTGCTATTGGCTAATCGACATCTGTTTCTCTAAAGCACGATATGCACCTGGAGAGACCGTCCGTGAGTACATATTTACTGGATGTCATGAGATTTAATGATGTTGAATGAGTTATATTCCTTGATACTTCCTAGCTCTTTCTGAACTTGTTAGTACTCCAAATAAAATTGAACTAGGAAATGCAATTATAATTATGGAACAAATAGCAAGCGGAGCTGTGCACAACGCAATCATAGCCTTGCATAATAACGCAGAGTATTAACAATATGAATGATTCAAATATAGGTTAATGGAGTGAGTGTGACATAAATAGTATGTAAGTGTTAGATTCCTGATATCAGGGACAATGTTTTGTAGTTGTCGCACTGAATGTGTTGTTCAGCTGCCATTTACTTATTTGATAAAGTCTTTTTGTAATTTATTTGAGAAATATGTCACAAGATAAAATAAACTGGATTCCCCGAAGATCTGGTGTATGTTTACATAGAGAATCAATTAATAAATAATAGCCTAGACAGAGGCCAAGAACATGAATTTTCTCAAATAAGTCAGACATCTCTGTTTATGTATGTATTGATGTTGTTTTCAGCAACCAAGCCACCGCGCCACAAATGTGGCCTTTCTAAATCCTGTCCCGAGGACCATTTCGCCTTTAAGATCACCAGTGGAGCAGCCAGTGTAGTCGGCCCAAAAATGTGCTTTCAGGACAATGTGTAGGTTTTACGCGCATCTTATTGCATTAACATCTTCCAAAAATACAAATCCTGACTCCTGCATGAATTCTAGCTGGGTGCATCAGTGTAAACTTGAGAAGAATTTGACGACTCTTTCTTTTATCAGATTAATGAGCGGAGTGAAGAACAACATTGGACGTGGTATAAACATTGCATTGATCAACGGTACGCCTCCTTTTTGTCTTCAGAAACATGTTGATGCTGAAACCTTTTAATGTATGTATTGTGTAGTCATAATATCCAGTAAATACTGAAAGAAAATTAACTGGATTAATTCACAATCTATTTACAGGGAAGACTGGTGAGGTAATCAAGACTGATTCCTTTGACATGTGGTCTGGAGGTAAATCTGCTTCTACACGCCATATCTGGTTTCCATTTGCAAATTTTGCAACTGCAAGTCGCTTTGGATAAAAGCGTCTGCTAAATGAATAAATGTAAATGAAAAATGTAAAACTTTGGGTGATCCAGTCACTAGTGCATGATAGTGCTTTCTCGAAATTATGATGTGTTTGCACCAGCTCTACATCTTTACTGGCATCATGTGACATGTAACATGCGCGTCGAAAATGTGTAACATGTACACGCGAATCGTAATCTTTTTTTTTAATTAATTTTCGTAATCTTTCTTAATTAATTTTAAACATTCGTTCTTGTCTAGATGTGAAAACGCTCATCAAATTCTTGAAGGAAATAGAAGATGGAAGCATTGTCATGATGGCCACTTTTGACGATCCTGCAACAAAGTGAGCCGCTTCACTACATTTTTGGTCAAACCTTTACAGATCTGTCTCGGTTTGTCTATTAATTGTATTTATTTATTGTTATGTACAGGCTGGATGAAGAGGCCAGAAATCTGATAGGAGATTTAGGCAGCTCAAGCATCAGCATATTGGGCTTCAGAGATAACTGGGTGTTTGTTGGAGGCAAAGGGATCAAGACAAAGAGCCCCTTTGAGCAGGTAAAGTTGACTTGTCTTGGGAGCATGTCCTGTTAAAATTTGATATCAATGTAAATATCTAATAAACCATCTCATGTGTGTCTCCAGCACATCAAGAACAGCGCAGAGACCAACAAATATGAAGGCTGGCCTGAAGTTTTGGAGATGGAAGGATGCATTCCAATAAAACGCGAGTAAAATCAACTTATACAGCCTTGAGAAGATTGAAGAACACGCAATTGAACATATGCAGTGTTTGATTGCCATTGACAATATCAAAAGTAAGAGTAGACTAGACTTTAAATTTGAAGTCTTAAATCTTACCATTAGAGATCCTGAGCATTTGCTGCTCTATATTTGTATTTATTTAACAGGGTTCCCATTCTTTTTGAATTTCCACTACTGCCAATGATCACTAGATAAGGATTTGAAAACTCATTTTGAAGTGGATTCAACTAACAAAGAGCAACATGTTGCCAGTGAAATATTTAAAAAAATAATAATAATTATAAAAAGTTTTATTTACCACAACTTCACTAATTATTGTGAATTTTTCAGCCTTGAAAATCACAATTTTAAAGCTCAATGCTTGTGGTAAGCCTGATTTGTAGAATTTATTGTTCTAATTGACAGCAAGCTTTCTGCCATTTGTGAGGCTCCAGTGTCATAAGGGAAAGAGAGATAGTGAACCAAATTTAATTTTTATTATTATTTATCACTGCACTATGACACTCTAATGTTGATCAGACTGGATTGATTTAAATGGCCGATGGGCTGCTGTCACCAAAATGTTTTATTTTACATCTTTTTTTTATTTGTAGGTATATTTATGTTTCTGCTGTCAACAGTATTTTGACTGTTGGGCTTTAGTACTGATGGAAGATTGTGTAGAAACTTTTATTTTTTATTATGAAACTGCCCATATCTCTGGTGTGATGGTATAGTTTTTATTTTAGACCTTCTACTGTTAAACTACTGTCTCTGGTTGTATGCTGTTTTTACTTTTTAAAAGCTTTTGTTGTTACATTTGGGGGGGTCATCATCACATTTAAAGATTCCCATCAGGGTGATCGTCCATCTGGTAGCTGCGTATTCTGAGATTACATCGCAGTACATCTAGTAGCTGTTATGTACCTGCCGTTAGTGTTCATATAAAGCAATAATATCACAGTATAACTGCTTTCATCCCTTATTGTGCCTTTAGTAGGTGCTTTCCTTTCAGGTAGTAAAATGTACCACAATTATTGAGGAATTAGAATGCTAAACCATCATCACTACTTGTTTATTTTATAATTCACGGCACAATTGTAACTATATACTGTGAAGTTGTGGAATGAAACCCCTTTCTTTTGTAAGAACAAGTTTTTTGTGTCTTTTTTTTACAATTATCAGATGCTAAGTGATTCTTTTTTTTATCGTTCTTGTGTGGAATTCTTGATGTTGCACGTCATTGCCTTAATATGTGAAGCTGGTTTGAGGATTTCTTTAGTACAAAGTAAATTTAAATCAAATAATTTGTGTATTTTGTGTTTGCAGTCTTTCCTAATGGCTCAATGATTTCTTTCTTTTTTTAAAGATGTTTCATAATAAAAAAGAGTTAGTTTCATTCCTGGGTTTGTCTTACCTCTGTTAGGTAGATTAAGGCTGAGAACCCCCAAGAATAACCTAGCATATGTTCTGCCTCATCAAAGCATGCTGCACACATCCAAATTGGTCCATGTGTTTATAAAGTGAGTAGATTCCAGGAAGGCATCCATTCGGTTCTCATTGGCCTAAGAAAAGACCAGAGAAGGTTTCAAAGTACACAGCTGCACAAGAAATAGATGGGGAATTTCACTATCAGCTTAACTGATAAAAATCATATCTCTCGATAACAGTTTTATTCCATTCTGAAAATATCAAAATATATATAGGTACTGATGTAGGCAACAACATAACGTACAGACCCAGTCTATACAAATGTCAATTTGTTATTGGCTGAGAACTACTTTTTATGCCATCAATGAACACCTTATATTCTGACACATTTAAAAACTGTATCCTTGTCTCCATTTTGAATGATTTAAAACAAATGACTAGTGGGAAGTTCTGAACCTGAAGTGCTCTGGCCATAGGCTCTGGCACAGGGTAATTAATTAATTTATCTTGCAACATGTGTGTGTGTGTGTCCTTCTCCACCTGCTCAAATCCAGCATCATGTCAATATATAACCACTAACGTAATTTAAGTTCATGAAATCCAGAGGGAGAGAATTTGAGAATGGGGGGGGAACTTGTAACGTTACAGCTGTAGAACTCCTTAAAATGTTCCGGGTTCAATGCGGTCAGTTACCACATAATAATTTCGACCCCTTTAGTTTCTAATAACCAAAAATAACGTGTTTTTAAAGCTGTAGTTGTCAAATTCGTATTTTTATCAAAATGGTTACTGACCTTGTCCAATTTGTTTGTTGTGAGTAATAATGACCGTTTGACTGTACATTATCCTGCTTAGTACACGGCTATTTAGCAAGAAAATAAATAAGCAGAAATGAAATATCGAATTGAGTTAAAATTACCTTAATTTTATCCTCACTATGAAGTGACAGCGAAGACACTAGATGGCGTCAGTTGTGTTTTAGTATAGACCATTTCACAAGATGAAAACAACACTGGTCCAGAAGCACTTCCTGTTTCAGTTTTTTTAACACTACATAAAAGCTGGGATAAAATACAACCAACAGAACATTTAAAACTGAATCAAAAAGTTAAACAAACATCTTTAAGATGTTTTCTTTACATGTGAAATTAAGAAAACAGTTACAAACTGAAACAGGAAGTGTTTCTGGACCAGTGTTGTTTACATCTTGTGAAATGGTCTAACAGGTACTAGTATACGTTATTGACGACAGCGATCGACTAATCAGAATCGATTATTCCAACTGGCGTTGTCAATCACGTGTCCTGCATTTACAACGATGTCTAATGATAGACATTAGAAACAGCAAGAATTTAAAAGTTTATTTCAGAGAAATGTCTAAAAATAAACTTACACAAGAAGGATGGTCTGGAAACACGACGTTTACTTCTTTATACAATCCGAGGAACGAGTCAAAATTATTTTGTTTTGATACAATCGAACCCGGAACAGTCATTAAAATTAAATGTTTTTTTGGCAGCTCGAAAATAATACATCATCTGTTAAATATCTATCTGTAACTGAGACTCTCAATGGGACGATGAAGGCAAGGCTCTTAACACACTCAATCTGTGATGTACAGAAACAGTCCAGACTCCAGACACATGAACAGAATCGAACAGAGCAATATTTTGGTTGCTGAGGATCACATAAATTAGAATCTCTACAATATGTAAAATAATATTGATTAAAGTTAAAAATAAGATTTTTTTAAACATTTAAAGAAAAAAGGCAAATACATACGTTTGGCTTTGGAAACAAACCTATTTGAACATGTCATAGATATATGAAGCAGAGTCACTGGAGACTTTACACTCCAGCGGCAAAGACAATGAAGAGAGAAATAAACATGTTCCAATGCATGATGGGAAACCAGGTCTCCACACTAACACCTCAATAAGTGCAAAATAAATAATGCAATATCCCAATCCGGTAATCCAACAGATTTGGTACCATTGTACGCTTGCAGAGATATGATACGTGAATTTTGATAGCCGAAAAAATTCCTGGAGGACAAAAAAAAAAAAAAATTCACATGATGTTCAGTATGGAATATTACAAGAAGATCTTGTATTTCCAACAAGAACTTCTGGAAAGTTCTGAGACAAGTTCAAAAAGTCTTTCTGACAGCATATAACAAGACAAGTTCTGATTAAAAAAAAATCTGGCGATGCATAACACTGTCCTGTGGGTATTTCATTAGAGTAATATATAGCATAGGAAGTTGGGGCATCATATCTTGGCTCATAATCTGAGGGGAGGATCATGTGCTCCATTGGCACTGATAAGGATGCAAATAAAATTGTGGTGGTGGTTCTTTTGTGACTGGGTGACATTTAAAAACAGACAAAAAAAGCCTGTTTGCTTTGAAGCAAACCCTTCTGTCCTGTTACAGAGATTTTGAAGGATTTGTAACTTAAGGCAAAGGTCATTATGATTACTTTTAGCTTTAAACCCAAAATTAAATTTTCAGAAAGCTTGAGCAGAAAATGCACTAGAAAGTTGATCTAAGGGGAGGCAAAAAAAACCAAAAAAAAAACGGACGAATGTAATTGAATACAATCAGAAGGTCTTGACTAACTACCTTGAGCGTTGTTGGAAAAAACAGTTGCTTGTATATGCTTGATAAATAACATCTTGCATGCAATGAAAAGAAAACAAATTTAAATAGGTCCACCCCCATCATGAATGTATAGATTACGAATGCGTCGAATTTAAATTAAATGGCTAAACGTTATTGCACAAGTGCCAAAATGGACACCATGTCAGAGTATCAACTCTATTTTCATACATTTCTGCCTAAAAGCACTTCAGAACATTCAAATACTTGATTTAATGAGATTAGGCCATAATTATGTTTAAAAACTCCTAAAAGTGAACTTTGCGGGGCGGTGACCTGTGCAGAAAAGTGTCAAGCATTTCAGAACACTTCAGTTGTGCTTCAACATACAGTAATTGTCGCAGAGGCTGTTGTCAGGCAACAAGGCTTTCGATTTTGCATGAGGATGTTCGAGACGTTATGACGTGAAGGATGAGCCTGTGCTTTCCAATCATGACCTTCACATCCCTGTTTTCTACCATCCAAGGCTGCGAGCGAAAAAGAATCCAGGGGGAAAGAAAAAAAAATTAAGGGAGGGACACAAACCGAGGAAAAAAAGAAGTCCTGACAGATCCTGCAATCACACGCGGTCACTGCTACATTTAAAACTGTGCATATCCCATACAAAGTTGAAAAGATTAAAAGACTAACACCTCTGAGCACTGTACTGGTTACTGGTTTGTGTTACATGCCCCTGTCTTCCTCCTCCAATGATGGGCTGATTGGCAGTATCCAGGACCAATAACATGGCAGCATTCTTTTATTTAAACACCAAAAGTGGTATTGAGGTTTGGGGGTTCAAAATGGAAGAGGCGGAGAGTGGGTCGGACTCTATCCGGAGCCTTCAGACCGGTCCGTTAGCGGTAACCTCAGCGGGAGTGGGTGCCTCGACTCTGTAGAGGCATGAGAGTGAGTAAGAGGGATGGAGGCAGTTTTTCATCACAGTTTTTCATCACATAACATCAGCTTACTACATTCACTGTTACCTCGTCTCCGTCACAGTGGTGGCGTCTGACTCTTCTGTAGGTGCTGAAGACTCGCTACTGTCGGTGATGCTGAGCTTCTCCAGAGCGTCAGTAGGCACCTCGCTGCAGAGAAAAAGTGCAGCCGCAAAATACTTTAACACATCAATAATCACTCTTTGAAATTCAGGTGATGTCACATTAGCTAAAGTTTGTGGGCGAAAAACGTTTGAAGCACGGCTCACAGCGAAGTCAATTTCAAACCAAGCAGTTTTCTGTTGGTCAACATTGCAAATTTGTGCGACAAATATGAAACCATTGTTAAATCTATGTCACAAAAATTCCAAATTGCGTGGATTCTGATTAAAATGGCCGCATCAAACGCTGTAGTGTGCAAGTGTTCTTACCTCGAGGGAGCTGTTATCTGGTTGGTAGGTTTAGGAGCACCCTCAGCCTTATGTTCTCCAGGGTCCTCTTCGCTGTCTGAGCCTCCAGATGAGCTGCTGTCAGAGGCCACCAGAGGGGCTTTTTGCTCAGGACTTCCTTCCCATCCTCCTGTAGCTGAACCACTGCTGGCCACTGAAAAAAAAAAACACTTTCAGGTACCAAACAGCAAAATGTCAACCCTCTTCTAAGTTTTCCTAGCTTATCTATTTTAACAGTATTACTGCACCATGCGTCAATGTTTTGGGGTTTAATTTTTGCAGCTCAGATTCTATAGACGTGCTTTTCGGATTGGAGAGGAGTATATAGAGTACATATTACTACTCAAAAGATCAAGGAGTACATGATTCCCAAAAATATTACCATTTTAAATCCCATCAGATCAATTTAAGACAAAAAAAAAAAATCAGTGCTACTCACAGTCCTTCCCATGGCCTTGAGGCTGTCCCTCAGTGTTGCTGGACTCCGTGCTGTAATATAAAGGCCAATGGATTGGGAGATAAAGGCATTCCCATAGTTCAAATATCCAAACGAGCCTATATTTTCTGTTCGCTTTAACAAACATTCTAAAACAGTGTGATATGTAACATGAAGTGCTCTTTAGTGGTCTTTACCTGCTGAAAGGCTGGAATTCAGTAAAGGTGGCCCAGCCTGTGTCCTGCGAACCCGCATTGCCCTGCTGAGGGGAGCCACCCCAGGCACCAGAGGAGCTCACCTCCGTCTCACTAAAACTAGCTGCCCAGCCTGAGTCTGTGCACAACACAAATACAAAGAATGTTCATTGAATGAATTCAGCTGAAAGATTCAGACTTGTGGGGGATGATGTAGCACTCACTCTGAGTCTGAGCTGCTGTCGACTGCTGAGGACTGGCCTCTTCCTCAACATCCTCTTCCCCAGAGGCCGACCCGCAGCCTCCACCCCCATTTCTCACGGCACTCTTGGGTGAACTATCTGAAGAAAGAGACACCCCAAACCTGGAAACAATACATAGAGAATCTAACTTCAATAAAACAAAACAGCAGAATCTATTTCCTCAAGCATATCAACTGTGTGCTGTACCTCGATCTGGATTTGATTTGTGTTGCATAGTTAATTTCTTTTTCATCCCAAATATCCTCCTCTTCCTCACAGTCATCAAACTGCTGGATTCTTTCTTTACAACACGCCTCAAAAGCTGCAGCATTGGCCTACAGGAGCACCAAAACCCGAATAAAGCATCAAAACAAACACTTACACTTACTTGAATAATGAATGGTGTTTTCAGTGGCAGGCACTTACACTATGATCATCTGCGTCTATGTTAAAGTTAATTTCAGCAATCCGATCGAATGCAGCACTGCAAGATTTAAAGAGGGCTCTTAAAGATTATCACTGACAGACAACCTTCACCACGAAATATATCAAAGCAGTACATCAATGCAAGTCTCTGCAGCATTGTGAAATGTATTTCAAGACTTATCAGTGGATCTGAGAAGCGTTCTTTAGCACTCACTTGATATTTTCATCATGTTCACTGAACTCTTCATCATTAAAACCAAACTGATCCACAAAGTTGGCGGTCATCTGCTGAATCTGGTAATCAGAGAACGCCTAAATGGCAAAAAAAAAAAAAAAAAATCCCACGTATCCAGTTAGCTGTAAGGAGCTTAAAGTAGGCTCATGCTGGCTCTTTATTTGTCGCTTCTTACCTGTTGAATAGACAGATCATTGGGGAACGGGCTCTCCATGTCATCATCTTCGCTAGATGAGTGTAAGTTATGGGTGCTCACCTGGAACAGAGGATGAAAATGACATATGTTTAAATAAACCTCAAAACGTAACCCTGATGATTGGCATCTACTACAAAGAACAGATTCAATGTGTGATGTAGCATCTTTATGGTTTCAGGGAAGTGAGGAAGCACCAAGGATCTCTGGAATATTTACTATTATCATCTGTATTAGTGGACAGATTGGTTAACTCTCTCAAAACACATTTTGAAAGAGAAAAAGAAGACCTCGAATGATTATACTCTTGCTCTGAAATTAAAATAAACAAAAGATAATGCATATTTAATAATTATATTATGATTCATACTTTATTAGTATTTATAATTTGCGATTTAATAATTCATGCATCAAAGGAGTTAAAAGTAAAACTGAACTCTCTTCACTAAAATCTGATGTAAATTTCCATTACATTGACTAACTTTAAATTCATCTGCCCAATGCAATGAAATGTGTGTGTGTGAATGTATTCCTCACCAAATCCACTGTGTTTCTCCTGTTGGTCTCTCTTAAAGTCTCACCCACAAAACTCTCCCAGCGGCCTCTGCAGTCCTCTGGTAGCTCTGTGGATATACAAGTCTTTGTGATCCCAGTAACCACACTCGGTTATCTCGGTCATCATCACTGCATAAACACTGTGGTTATTTGATATGTTACTGCACTACAAACCTTTAATTAGGTCATTAATTTGAGAGTGAGCCAGCCCTTTCTCTAGGTTTTGAACAACAGTGTTTGCAATTCTTGTCAGGTGACCCATGTTTCCCCTCCGCCTGCCCCCTTCAGCCCTAGGTAGAGAAATCATAATCAGCCAACAGACAGATATCAAACACATACTGACATACTGATGGGTATGAAGACAAGCTTCATGGGACTAACACACGTGCTAGAGACACACTGTATATAAATCAATGACAGTAAATAGAGGAGAAACTCTTACTGGATTTTGTCATTTTCCTCCCAAGCATCCAGAATCTTTTGCACCAGCCGGCAATGCTGGAAGAGCTGAGGAAAGCAGAGAGCCAACATTGTAAATAAAGAACAACAGGAAACACAAAGAGAGTGTAAGAGAAAGAAAGTGTAAAAAGAAACGAGAAAGAGCAGCATATAAAAGTGACGCACCTATACTCAAACCACAAGATTTGAGCTATCATTCATGCTGTAGCACAAATGTTGCAGGATGAATTAAAGGTGAAATTGCAGTGCTTTGTTCAGATTCTTAAACCAAAGAATGTGCAATGCACTACCATTCCAAAGATTAGGGTTATGTTTTCATCTTTTTAAACGCATATTGCAAAATATTATTATAATTTAAAACAACTGTTTTCTATTTTAATATATTGTAAAATGTAATTTATTCCTGTGATGGCAAAGCTGAATTTTCAGCAGCCATTACTCCAGTCTACAGAGTCACATGATCCTTCAGAAATTATTTTAGTATGATGATTTGATGCATTTTATCATTACCAATGATTTAAAAAATGTACAATCAAAAAATAACAGCATTTACTTGAAACCGATATCTTTTGTAATAGTGTACGTGTTTTTAATGTCACTTTTGATTCATTTAATGGACCCTTGGTAAAAATGGTTAATTTCTTAAAAATAAATTATTTCTCAAAATAAAAATTGTGACCAAACTTTTGACTGATAATATATTTGCAGTGAAGCCCATCTACACTGTTTCCTCTAAGATAATCTGACAATCTGACAAGCGCTGTAAGAAAGCGGTCATGATCGGAAACAGATATAAACTACAGATGGCCTACATTGGCAACAAGAGCATCTTGAATTGGTGTGTTGGCTGGATCTGAGCTGTTGTTCTGGCTAGGTGTTCCCTCCTCCGCCTGGGAGCCAGTAACTGGTGGTCTCTCCTCAGGGTTCTGCAGACCTGGGTTCTGGAAGTCCGTGTGGACAGAGTGGTTCAGGATGGATGCCACACACAGCTCCACTTGCAAGTGCAAGAAATTATTCCAGGTGTATTTAAAGAATAAATCCTGCACCAAGAGAGTGGGGGAAATGATGAAAAACAAGATCATCCACCCACAGCCATCTCATAATGTTGAGTCTGCGATATTCAGTGTGGGTGTGTGTAAGTGATTTACCAACAGCAGGTCCATAGTGTTGAGTCTGCAGATCTCTTGGCAGATGCTGAGGTCGCACGTCTGCAGCAGAGAAGCCACCAGTCTGGCCACATGAAGCCGGGCGCTCCCAAGGGGCTGCTCCAGAACGCCCACTGTGGTGAGTATTGCACTTCTCTATTTTACAGCAAGTACGCATTGTTAGAGGGTCATCACTCTCCACATTGCACAGTGATTGTTGAGACAGTAGCTCTGCTCCAAAACTTAGTAAGCCAACTCACTGACACACTTTAAGGCATCATTAAAATGATGCTCCTGAAGACTGTTCTAAAAGGTCTAAATATTATGCTACCTTCTAAGACACCCCTAAAGTCAGTCAAAAATCAGAAAAAAAATATTCAAAAGCCCTGAGATGACATTCATATACAGATGGAGTTTAGTTGCATGTGTGTGTGTTGGTACCATAGGAGGGTTCAGAAGGAGCTGCTGGAAGTCCTTTAAATGAGGCTCAATAGCACGTAAAATACTGCTGTTGACAGTGTAAGACCTTTCACATCCCTGAGAATACAGGTCCATCAGACCCTCCAGCCTAACAACACCAGACACAGAGATAACAGAAGGTCATGAAAAGATTTTAAAGATCATGGCTGTTTATTTTAGGTTTAATTAGGCCCTATAATGGATGAACTCACCCTGACCTTCGTGACTCCAGTAACGTAAGAAGCACTTGCGTTCCATTGACGACAGACGCTTCAGTCCTTTCCCCTTCAAACATGTTCTTCAAAAGCTCCCCCACATTCTCCCGCCTACAAAGACATCAACATCAGTGGATGAGATACAAAAACTGCGATTACATCAGAGAAACAAGCACTGTCTGGTGATCAGTCTTTATTGAGTGAGTAAGTCCTTATTACATGACTGTGATCTTATCTAATCAGATTGGGCACTTACGACTCTAGGACAGCGAGTAAGGGGTCTGGTTCTGTGACCTCTGACAGCTGATTGGCCTGGTCTCGACTGAGACGGATTATGTCACAAAGAGTCTGGGATGCATTAGATTGTCTCTGCAGAAGAATTAAGTGAAAAAAGAATGTACTTGGATGTTTTTGTTAAAACTTCCATAACTAAAATAAGGTGGGCTGGAGGTGAAACGTTCAGCAGAGTGAGTGATATTTCTACCTCTTCATCTCTCCCTGTGTGCATGAGCTCTGTGAGTCTCTGGATGAGTCTCTCCTCATTCAGCCACTGCAAACACACACATTCATTCACAGATCAGAATGACTAGTGAGGATTCACCCAGGGCTTGGAGGATAACAATCAGGCTAAATGTGGGTTAATGTCTAGTTTAAGCAATTGAATCATGCACTAGCATTTCTAAAAGACATAGTTTCTACAAAAGGTTCATGCTCCTAGGGGCCAACAGCGTAAAATGGTTTTGAACAAGATTAATGAGAACACATGGGACCCTTCACAAAGAACATATTATTGCACTCAAATTTAGTTGGATGCAAGAAAAGAAACAGAACGCAGCTCGTAAGTAGTCCCTTAAAAAGTTGTTAAAATTTTAATTATATATATGGAAATATTAGTGTGCTTACATTGAGGACCTCCATCCTCAAAGGAGCAGGCTCTACACAGCTGATGAGGCGCAGCAATAGGTCCATCATGGCCGAGGCATCAATGTGATTCAGCACCAGACTGATAAAGTTGTGTTTTTTCCTTAGGAAAGAGATTACCTGCATGTAGAATAACATACAACTTACTGACAATACAAATCAAACAAATAACTTTGTGCTATTTGGTATGCGTTCATATTCCGAGCCGTGTGTGATCAGGTGTGCGCACCTGGTCTGTTTTACGTGCAATCAAGTTGCCGATGGTTTTGCTGAAGAAAGAGGCCAGTAGGGGATTAAGGGGCGGCTCCTGCTCCAGAAAGTGGTAGAGTTTCTCTAAAAGGGATTCATCTCCACCCAGCTTATCATTGATAAGAGCCACATCAGAGGTCAGGAGCTCACAGGCAATGTTTGGATACCTGGGTAAACGGAACAAAACAAAAAGTCTATATTACCTTCAAGTTACATATGACAATACTATCAAACAGTAAATGCAACAGACCAAAAAAAACATCTGTGGTGTCTTGGCCTTTAACATGACAAACAAAGCCTATTTCTGTGGTTCCAACGAAGGCATTTCAAAAGTAACAAAGTTGTTCTGAAGCTCTACTTGTCTTCTGTCACTCAGATAGCACAAAGTAAACACTGGTCAGCTCAGTGCTACTGCAGTGTTGTCAGTGCCACAAGAGAGGGTAATAAACTCTGCGTCAGTGCCTTTATCCTATTGCAGGATTCTGCATTTCACAAAAATATCACTAAAGAAAAATCTGGATTCAGTGCTACTGAGAACATATTTCACTCAATGTAATAACATTTCACAATACTTGGAGAGTAAATTAGTGGTCGACTACTATATTGCCACGGCCGATATTTTTTAAAATATCGGCATCGGCCGATAAGTTTTTCTGATTGGCCGATGTGTTGGAAGCGGGACTTTTATTTGGACGGGCGGCGCTGAGCACTTGAGAAGAGAACGCGCCTGATCAGTTCATCACACAGTGCTCACTCACATTCTTCGTCTTCATTAGTTTACGATCTCTGTCAATCATATCTAATACTTTATTTGATTAGCAGTTCTGAAGCCCCCAGTTCTATCAAACAAAGTAAATGGTGTGTGAAAAAGTAATGTTTGCTTTTATATTATTTGTAACATAAGGCAAACAATCAGCCCAAAATACCTTCTCATTTACCGTCAACATTCAGCAAATGCGCATCAACATCATTTAAACAAATCTCTGAATATCAAATTAACATTTCATTTAAAAAAAACTTTTTTAATCGAAACCAGCTGTGGTATCTTGGAAAGTGTGCATTTGTAGCCAGCATAAACGTGTTACTGCGAGTGAGCAGTGAGTGAATGCGAACAAAAGATCAGCTTCACAGAAGACGTGATGCATTTTAGAAAGACGAAACATTTTAAATCCTTCATTTCACTCAAAATATGCTGTGCTTGTCAAAAGTTACCTTGTCAAAAAAGTTAGTCAAAAAAGTATTTTTTTTAAATATAAATGATTATCAGTGCGCATGAAATTACCAGATTACTGATTGCCCTGTTACAGTGTTTACTTCCTTTTTTATTCACATACATTTTTAAACAATGACTTTATTTGTGAAAAAAAAACTAAATGGCAACTTCTTGAATCTGCAATCCCATTACAAAGTATAGGGCCTAAGCATGTTTATTTGAAAGATTTTGTATGTATGTCTGTATGTATGCATATATATATATATATATATATATATATACACACACACATACACACACACACACATATATATATATAAATATCGGCTTTACATCGGCCACCCTGCTCTCTCAGATATCGGCATCAGCCATCAAAAACGTTCGACCACTAGAGAAAAGACGATTTGAGTGAATCCACTTGCTCATTTTAAGACAAATGATTCTGCCTCCTACACACAGAGAATCAAATTAGTTTTACTTTCAAATGAACCTTAATCTCTTTTTCTCTCCTTCTAACCATATGGTCCCAACAGAGAGCGCTGAAACTGATAGATTTCAACCCTTCAGAACATGAGAGTATTTCATATAGTTTGCCTTGAACAGCACAACCCTCACAAAGAGCAAACCTTTTTAAAACACAAGCAGCAACATGTTATGGGTATACACATCACCTTTTAACTAAATCACTTCTCTTTTCTCTTTCCTCTTCTTTCATTTGTCAACTTAAATTGCACATCCCTCCAATTCTCTGCACTTCTACATCTTTACAGTCAGTTTTATAGCTCTTCTGTAACCAGGAGCTCAGAGCATGCAGGGCCACCAGTGAACAACACAAACGTTCTACCATCATAATTTAACAAGTCGGAATACTTTTTACTGCCAGCTACATTTACATCATGTAGGCTATAGGCAATTTGCAGTGAATAAACAATTAAGGTGCAACCACATTAGATACATTTCTGCAAAATTCTGAAGGTAAAAAAGGTCCATTGTCTTTTGACAATGTTCAGTGTAGTTATGTATGAAGCAACGCTCACACAGAAGTCACTTTCAAACCAAGAAGCTTTCTATTGGTCAACGCAGCAATTTCGCCTGACCAACTTGAACACGAGCAAATTCTGCATCTGGAACTTCTTCACCCTCATGCAAAACTCTAGATTGCACGGAATTGAGCAGTAAATGTGATCGCACCTTTAAACTTAAAAAAAAGTGTTATTTCCATCCCATTAGCATTACTTAGCTAAACTGAAAATAAAAGCTGTTTTGAACAGGTTTCCTACACACCTCCCCATCTAGCAGTTGCCGATGAAATGGGTAGCCCCGTCCCAAATTCATGTGATTGGTTGAGCCGGTGTTGTGTTGTTCATTTGGCCCAAACTAGCAAAAAAAGGTGCAAAGCTGTGTTTCTCTTACTTGAAGCGAGTTTTCTCCTCCAGATCAGCAGGGGGCTCCTCTGTGATGAGGGTGACCAGCTCCTGCATACATTGATCCTTGGAGAGGAAGAGCAGAAGCTTGCGGTTCTGTGCTTTGCACTCCTGCAGGACATCCTCCTCTTCCATCAACTCTCTCAGAGTCACGCCCTCTCGATCCAGCAGCTGGTCGATATGGGAGGTGTTGTTCAGGTCAAATTTCCAGAACATGATGGCGGCGGTGGCAGCTGCAGCAGGAAGCCCAGGCCTGAATAGAAGACATGAAAGTGAGGATAACATAAAAACAAGTGATTGATAACACACATTCCACAGGATTTGTTTTTTAAAATTAGAAAGCAAACTCCGAATCAGATTGTGATAAGCATGATGAAAAAAAAAAAAAAAAAAATCCAAGGTGGTCGATGCATTGAATGAAATGCAGGCATGCAGAACCGCCTTGAACCTTTTTTTTTATTCAAATGCCACATGTTGTCCAATGCAATATTGGAAGGCTCCCTGATATCGGTCATTTCTGCATAATTATGACAAATCCGCTTGTGTTTTTTTTTTTTTTTTGGTTGGTTGGGAATCGAAAATAGATTTCAATTCTGGTATCAAATAATTAAGGACAGGAATCGAACACTCATCAATACTTGTTAACATTGTTTATTTCAATTTTCAATCATATCTTTGTTCGGTCATATTTATTTGTGCAATTGCTAATTTGTTTATTTGCTCTTTTTTAATTACTGTTACTTGTCTTTTACTTGTAATTTATATTAGTTTGGCAATAGTTGTTTTTGCTATGGTATTTTTCAACCATAGGCAAAAATTTGTTGTGTAAGTCCAAAAGTGTTCTATAGCCTGTTGTCCATGGTATTCAGATACAATGAAATATTTTGCAATACGACTTAAAATAAATGTTAATGATATCCAAGATTTTTGTCCCTTATTGGAATCGAAATTAAGAATCGATAAACAGAATCAGAATCGTTAAAATTCAAACGATACCCAACCCTAGTATTTATTTACATAATAGATTAATTAACCACAATTCATTTTGTTATTTCAGAAGTTTGAAGAACTGTATTTTGTTCAATTGAAACAACTAGTAAATTAATAAACTAATAAAAAAATATGTATTATATAAGAAATACATTTTACATTAACATTTTTAATTTAGAAATTATTTTAAATTTGTGATAATAATTTATAAATTTTAATACCTTTTAGTCATCTTATGGTCCCCTTGGAAGTTTGCTGAAGCCCCCTAGTGAGTCTCGGTCCCCTGGTTGAGAACCACTGATGTGTTTTGTGTAGTGTGTTTCAAATCACTCGCTTATAAAGTTACATGATGGTAGCATTAAAAAGCAGCTGTCTATATAGGAGGCCTAATAGGTTTTGGAACAAAGATATAGGTCGAGTGGGAAGGCGGAAGAATAGAGATGGAAAGCAGAACTAACAGATGAAAGAGAATCTGGAGAACAGGAGAATAAGGAAGGGGACAAAAATAATTGATGGACCTTTAAAGCGTCCAAATAACACATCCCACTCAAAACAAAACATGAAGCAACTGGAACACGAAGAGCAACTTTCCCTTCAATACTGATTGAAATCACCTTTGCTGGTAAGATTTTCTAACAACTCTGGTCATGAACAAAGCAAACCTTTCCCACAACACAAGATGACTGGGACCCACGCATCACACCCTGGGCGATACATTTCACACATCCTGATAGGCTTTGCTTGCTCAAAGAGATGTGATCTGTTAGTGAGGCTATGTAAAAGACTCATCAGACAGAAACTCAAGCACTGGAACATTGATAGCATTTGTTAAGTAAATATATTTTTACCAGCTGATGAAACGTGTGAATCCTTAGTTACACCTCCTCCACAGGCAGACAGGCATTTGAGTGGCAGAATGCAGACAGCACAGAATGACCTAGCATTAATCTGCATGAGGTCCACTTCCCACCAGGCCTTCCTCGAATACACGCCTCAGACGGACTGACACTGGGGAAAAGAATCGAGTGTGAGAAAGTGCAAACCCTTCAAAAATCACTGCAGGCATGGTGTAAAAACAATTTGAACCAATGCGACAAACAAAGTACATGATGAAGCATTAATGCAACACACTGCATCATATAGTCTAGACACCTTGAAACAATGTGCAAGGCTAAAATCAGAACTATGGAAGGTTTTCTTGTAAACTGAAACTGTAGTGTTTGTACAACCATAACTTCCGTGCCAACAGTGAACAAATGCACATACACATTATTTTCCATAAACATTCACCCCCATACTTACTCTTTACTAGCAGATACACAGTTATTTTAAGCATTTCAAGCCTTCAGATTTTAAACACGGTCACATTTCTCATAGTTCGGAGGGCGAATTTGAATTTCTGAGGGCGAACAATTTCCTCGGGTTCTAATTCAAGATTTGCATTTCTGACCAACTTGGTTTCGTTTCATACATTTCAACATTATTGCTTGACTAACAGACAAATTATCTTTTTCCCCGCAAAATTTAGCTTTAGACCAGATATTAGGAAGTTAAAATAGAAGGATCCACTTAATGTACTGTTCTATTTGAAATGCGGACCTGCAACACCACATCTTGTACACATTTTGGCACTCAAAGCAGCAGCTGGCAACAGCTTCCTTGAGCACAACATATTCATCTGACGACAAACGGCACAGAGAATACATACCGGAAAGAATCTCTATCATTGATCTGCAGCTGAGCAAGCTGAAGCAATTCTTTCATTTGGGAATAGTGGCCAAAAAAAAAGAAAAGCAGACTTGTTTCCTTCTTTTATGTGGATGTGGACATGATTGTGTGCACGTGCAGAGCTTAGTATGACGATACAAACCAAACCAGAGAACTCCCCAATGAACTCTACACAGGAAAGCAAATGTCTATGCTCTACAAATCATCAAAAATAGTAACAGGCAGCAGCACTTGCATGCAGCAAACCTGCCACACAAAGCAGACACGAGCGGGGATGTTGCATGGGATCTCTTGACAGCAGCAGCTGAGGTCAAATAAGCTGCCATTGATTGCACAACTGTCCAGAAGCTGCCTACTTAGGAAGTTGATCCAGCAACTTGTCCTGACCCCTGGACCCCAGAGGGGGTCCATAGCATTACAAAACTTCAAATAAGATTGCAGTAGTCATACTGAACGATCGTGTTGTACAACTCAATAGTTAAATAACTAGAGAGGATTAACTGACTTCTGAAATACTCGTGTGGCTGCTAATGACAACATGATTTCAATCCAATGTTTACAATAGGCGTCAAGACCATACCAGAGCATCATGCACACCTTATAAAGCCGGGACGGTTAAAGAAGAAGTGCTCCTATCAAACTCACACAAGACGTGACGATGATTTTAAGTGCAGAATAACAGTTTCAGCAGAAAATCTCGATGGTCGCATGTTAACAGCTGGGCCCCGCTAGCAGCCGTTAGCATCAGCTGCTAACATTAACGACAAAAGCTGGTTTCCGTATTTACACAACAATCCCAAACTCGACTGAAACAACTCAAATACAAACTCATTTATAACTAAAAATTGATTAACAGACGTGTAGAGTGCGCTTGGCTTTTTTTTCGACGCTAAAGTTTGGGATGTTTTCGGTTTGTTTGCTAGCTCGTCTGGCTAACTTCAGCTGAATCTCTGTTACAGAAGTTTCTTCTCCTCTGATACTAGGACTTAAAACGACACATTTTCTAATCAAAATAAGTTACTCATGAACAAGCACGCTTTGTTATGAAACAGAGACTGTCTGTTCCAGCAGTGCTATATGCGCAAGTAAACAGTCTGTGCATGTAAGCTTACCCCCGCTATGAGTGTCTGTAGAACGGGCTACTGGTTGTCGGTTAGTACTGGTCTGGCCCGTGCAGTGGAGCAGTGGCGCTGCTGCCCCGCGCGCTCTGTGAAACCCCGCTGCTGCCACGAGACCGTTTTCCTCTCAACTATCTGCCCAGAGTGCGAGCCATCGTCCTCACTAAAGTTGTTTTTCTGCTTTCCTTTATGTACGAGTTATTTTTTTAGGAAATTATTTTGCGGCAAAACACTACGCAGAGTTATCTCGGCCACTCACACGCACGGCGAGGGAAATGGATCGGAAAATAAAAATCGTTCATATGTTTGTATTCAAAATGGCGAAAGTCTGTCATAGACGCGCGCGTACGCGTGCTGTCAGATTGTTGCCTGCGCATCGGGTGCGCGCTCCCTGACAAGATCAACATAGATTAAAATAATAATAATAACAATCATAATAGAACATAGGCCTAAAGAAAGGGGGAAATAAAAGAAAACTACAAGGAAAACTAAAAATACAATAAACCAAATAAAATAAATGTGAATTTTCCCCATACTTTTGTTGAAATCATTACATTGTTTTCATACTTATATTAAGATAAACCAGACCTTTTTATATAAACTAAACGCACTACCCAGTCTCCTAAAATAAAATAAAAATAAAACAATATTCCCAAAATGTAAAACACAAAATAAAACAAAGATTTTGTATCTGACACGTCTTGAGCTTTGTCCGAAACTATTTTTGCTTAGTCTTTTGATTGTCAATAATATTTATATGACTTAGACATAATCATTTTGTTTGTTTGATTGCTTGTTTTTTAAGACAAAATAAAAGTTTTATGACAACTGGCAAGTTTCTGCATTACCAAAATTATAAAGGCTTTATGAGAATTTTACTTTCATAAATGTTAATACTTTTTTTAGATTTTATTTTTATTAGATTTATTATTATTATTATTATTATTATTATTATTATCATCATTATTATTATTATTATTTACGTACACTTTCAACGTCTATTAATAAGAAAGTGGTCAAAACCATATGCTCAAAACAAATGAACAGTCTTTGACATTCTTTCTAAACATCATCGTTTGTGTACTCTTTTTTTATTAGGTTAATTTATAGTGTTAAGGCCCATTCACACCAAAAACAATAACTATAAAGAAAACGATAACGATAAATATATATAGGCCTTGTTCTAAAAAATCGCAGTAGGGGTTCAATCTTCAACTGGCTGGCAGGAGCCGCCACAGTGGCAGCTCCTGCCAGCCAGTTGAAGATGCCCCCACTCAAAAATCGTTCTCACCATTAAAGAACACCACAGCAATAACGATAACGGCACAACGATATAATTGAAATCACGTTCAGAACGATTTTTATTCAGTCGATGAACGATAAAAACATTGGCTGCAATCATAATCATGTATTAGTAATTAGACAAGCACCACTTAGTGCAATGTGAGTTAGAGATTTTGTCAACAAAGAAAGAAGAATAAGAAGGAATATTTTGTTTTTGTGCAATTGTTCTTAAATGTAAATTTTCAGGTCAGATACCACTTTTCAATGTTTTACTTACTGAAATACAACACTACTTTGGGATTATCTTTGACTCTTGTAACAAGAAGGCTTTAAAAACTGTTGAAATATGCAAGTCTTTTAATCTTTTCCTTTGATACGTATTTTTTTTTTCTGATTAGTTATATACCCCTGTCTTAGTCTTTTTTTGTTTTGTTTTTGTTTTGTTTTTTCAGTTTATTTGTTCTATATTGTGATTGTTTTCTTTGAAAATGTTTCAATAAAAAAAATGTGAGTTAGAGATCAGTTTTGCGTGTAAAGAGTAAAAAAATATGATAATACATACTTTAAACATATTTTAAAGTTTATTTAAAATAACTGTAATTTATTTTGCGGCCTCCTTTTTGAAAACCAATATCAGAGATATTACAAACTATGGGAGTATTAAATCAGTCCTCCCCGCGCGATGGCGCTGTTCAACCTCAGTGATTACTGAATGATGACCGAGGACGTGATTACTCACAAAAGCAAGCGGATCTCAAATGGATCCTTAAGTCAAAATGGACCCGTTTGACAGCGCCGATTCCCTGGAAGGGCCGTCAAGGTCTGCAGCGACAGATACAGAGGTATCGGAGCCGTGGTCGCGCTTCTCTGCCTGGCTCGAGTGTGTGTGCGTCGTTACCTTCGACCTCGAGCTCGGACAAGCCATAGAGGTAACGTTACACAAATGATGTGCATGCATGCACCCCTGACATCTGTTTGCTTGTTTGTTTGTTTATAAGTTACTCGCATAACCACTTTATAGGAAATAATCTGATTGTGATATGATGCTGAAACGCCTTGATTGCAAATGTATACACTGTAAAACACAGCAACAGCAGAATCACTGTGTTTATGTTGTCATCATCAGCTCATTTACCCCTATGATGTCAGACTCACGGAAAAGGAGGTAAGGTCAATTAAATTTAATTAATTCATTAATTTTCCAGCTACAGTATTCATGCATTGTGTTATAACAATTTTAAAACATTAGTTTCATTTTAAAATTCCCCTAAAACTACCACAATCTTTCGCTTCCTTCTGTCTTTCAGAAAACAAGTATTTGTTACTTGTCCTTTCCTGACTCATACTCAGGTAATATGCTGGCAAAGACTGATCTCATCAGTGTTCTCATGATAAACAGCTGAAACATGAGCTTTACAGTTCAGTCACATGAGTTCGTGTCTATCCCAGGATGCCTCGGGGACACTCAGTTCAGCTTCAGACTGCGGCAGTCGGTGGGCCGCAGTAGCTCTTGGTTTGGACAGGAGGATGCTTACAACAAGGATGCACCTGTGGACCTTCAGGTTAGAAATAGACTTGAAATATTAAGCAGGAAAAAAAACAAACATTTTTAACATTAATAATAATAATAAGACATGTTTCTTGAGCACTAAATCAGAACATTAGAACAATTTCTGATGGATCATGTGACACTGAGGACTGGACTAATGGCTGCAGTAAATTTGGTTTTAACATCACTGGAATAAATGATATTTTACACTATATTATAGAAAGGTTATTTGAAAGTGTAATAATGTTTAACAATATTACTGTTTTACTGTATATAATTGAGACATTTCCTAGCATCACCACTGATTAACATCTGCTTGAACCAATACATTCCAGAAACAAAGTGTGCATGTAAATTATTTTCCTGTTTTTTAGAAGGAGCACGCACATTTCCACGGGTATGTGTATTTCAGGCAAGTGAAAGATGCGTCTGTCAAAAGGGGCTACTTTCAGAAGGTGTGTAAATGAACTGAAAGATACAAATGTTTGTTCTGGTTTGTCACAATGAGCTGTTGTGCTCTGCTTACATGAAAACATGAAGTTTTAATTGAATGTATGGTAACACTTTACAATAAGGTTCATTAGTTAACATTAGTTAACTACATTAGTTAACATGTACATTATGTGAACAATACTTCTTCAGCATTTATTAATCTTAGTTAATATTAATTCCAACATTTACTTATACGTTATTAAAATCAAAGGTTGTATTAGTTAACATTGGTTAATGGACTGTGAAGTGTATTAACTAACATTAACAAAGATTAATAAACAGTGTAATATAATGCATTGCTCATCGTTAGTTCATGTTAGTTAATGCATTTACTAATGTTAGCTAATGAACCTTATTGTAAAGTGTTACCGAATGTATTTAGTAAAGGGCATTGTGGTCAGTATACAATATACGAATTGTGTAAATAATTTCAGTTTTTCTACATCCCTAGTCCCTGGTGGTGGTGTCCAGACTGCCGTTTGTGAACCTGTTTCATTCGCTGCTGCAGGTCATTGCTCCCGAGTTCTTTGAAAAGCTTGAACCTTGTCTGGAGACAGGTGAGGCTGCCTAGACTTGAATATGTATTTACACTGACTGTAGACATTATTTTGACATTCTGTAAAGCTGCATGGAAATATATGTATGTATCTGAAATCCTCAATCATATTGGCTAATGTGTTTCAGTTTGTAATGAGATTGACCAATGGCCAGCACCAGTACCAGGGCAAACCCTCAACTTACCTGTGATGGGTGTGGTGATGCAGGTGAGAATATTATGAAAGGAAAAACTTGGACGGGAGATTGATAACATCATCATTATCTAACTTATCAAGACATTGATTCAACTTCTTGAAATGCTGGGTTTGAATTTGCAGGTCAGAATTCCCTCAAAAGTTGAAACGCCAGAAGAAAGCCCTGTAAAACAGCCACAAACACAGGTGCTTAACTCATTTTACCATTGCAATCCTTCACATACTGTTTGCTTTTATTTATTCTTTACAAATGGTTGATTTGTGGTTGCATTTTTGCAGAATCTGCTCCCTGCCCCCACGGTTCTTCCATCAGTTCACGAGCTGGATCTTTTTAAGTGAGTGTTACGCTGCTTCTGTAATTACTAAACCATCTGTTGATTTTACAGCCGTCACTAATAGCTGTCCTAATTGAGCTTCATCTAATCAGATGTTTCCAGTCAGTCCTGATTCACGTGCAGATGTTCTGGGAGCTCATGTTGCTAGGAGAGCCCGTGGTTGTTATGGCACCCTCTCCAACCGTCTCCTCGGAGACTGTGCTGGCCCTGGTCAGGTATGGACATTGCGTTCTCAAAGCAGAGGCACATACACAAAAGTTATTTTGAGGAACTCATAATAATGACAATAGATAGGTCTGTTTTTTTTTTTAGTAGAGTTTATGCATAAGTTTATCAATAATCCACTCTCTTAGAAGAAAGTTTTCTACAGGGAAACTTTAAGGATTCGGTCAGACGCTTCATAGAATCATTTAGAGGTTCCCATAATTTAGTTTTTAAGGGATACTCCACCATTTTTTTCATATTAAACTATGAGTTGATGCATACCTCTCTCGTCTAAGTGCGTGCCCTCAATCGTTCTTGTGTGCGAGACACTGTGATTGTAAAATGGATAACTATATTGTATGGTGGAATACCATACCACAGCTAGTGCTTGGGGGCACTTTGACTCGGCGCAGTAATATCATCACTCGTGAAAAGTCCTCTCCCCCTCTCACTCTCCAGAGTCATGATATTACTGCACCAAGTCCATAGATAAATATGCGCTGAGTCGAAATGCTCCCAAGCACTTGCTGTGGTATTCTGCCATACAACATAGTTATCCATTTTACACGTTTAGAAACGCGCAACATTTTATTTTGTGTCACCATCCTAGGTCGAGTTACACTGCTCGAGTAACTGTATTTAAATAGGGAAAACGAGGAGGTGTTTGGTCGCTTCTCTGAAATATCAAATGAACTGTCATTTGATATCAATAGTTTTTGTAATTT